TCCAGAGACTTTTCCTGGACAATATGAGAAGAAATTTGAGGTGCATTTATGCTGCCATGAGGGGATCTAGCATGAAAATAAATCCAGCACCTGGAGGACAGAACGATAAGAATCAGAATGAAATCAGTGTCCAAACAGCATAAGAAGCTATGAAAAAAATCTCCTTTAAAGCCTGAAATTAGAACAGTCTGTGCTTATTCTAATTACATAAACCTATGTATAACCCCAATTTTTTCTTTTTAAATCTATTTTGGTTCAGATTTTCTATTATTTGCAACAAGAAGTCTCCCAGTCAATGTAATTTGGAACACTGGAGGAAGTATTGTGTTCAGGAGGTCTGAGTTCTGGTTTACTTCTACTATTGATTATTTGTGTAATCTTAAGCAAGCTCTTTAACCAAATTCTTTAATCATTTTATCCTTGTCTATAATAAGAGTAGTAGTTCTAGAGAGATGATTTCTGTAACAGCACAGATCACTATTCCTGTCAATTCCACTCCTTTTGGTGAGTACACAAATTAACTATATTTCTTGGCCTTCCCATGGAGTTCAGTTGGGAAATTTGACTCAGTTTTGGAAGATGCCCCATAGATCAAAGTAATAAAATATACATCGAGGCTTAGATTTTACTTCTTCTGATTACAAAGTTCTCTCTTCTCTTTCTTCAGTGACTGTGGAAGCCAAATGTGAGGATGCAGATTCTGGGATCCCTGAGTCTTTCTTGGGATTTAAAATCATTGTCATCAGTTTTCAGCCTAACTTTAACAAAATATAAAACATTCTGAAAACTTTTCAACATGTTTTTGTTCTTCTAAAAAAACTCCTCCTAGATTGATAAAATGTTTAATTGCATTGATGAAACTGCTTTGATTCAGAATTACATGACTAATTTAACTAAAATTATGCACATTCTACTATTTCTACCCTAATTTAAACAGTTTAATAAATGAAAAAGATCTCATAGTGTATAGCAAACTACTATTTAAAAAAGACTCCAAAATTTATTTCTTATTCACCTGGATTCCAATGTGGGTTTAGCAGATCTCTTCAGATTTTTTAATAAATGGGGTAGACTGGAGTGTTTCAATCCATGTGAAGCAGTCTGGGAGTCCTGTGCATGGGTGTGTAAGAAGCCACAGCAGAGCCTAGAAGGGAGAGTGTGGCACAATTAAGGGAACAGGTCAAGTGGTGAGATGATTATTAATGTTTTAAAAATCAATCCTGGCCAATTTATTCTACTAACCCAGGCAGGTAGAGACATTCAATTAGTAACTGATTCCTAAATCAATCTGGAAATTTTAGGTCAGTCTTTAAAATCGGATTTGCCTCTTGCAGCCAGTCTCACACTTTTGCCTATTCTTTTACTTCTTGGATACAAGAAGTAAAGGAATAATCCTTCAGTGCTAAAACTGGATCTTGCAAATTCTCATTTCCATCCAAGATCCTGCCCCTTTGGAAGGTGAGATAATTATCCATCTAATTCCATTCCCATGTCTGCTAACTCAGACTCACATGCAGAACAACCTCAGTTGGTTCTATATTTATTTTAGAAAAGACGCCATTACAGTGTAAGCTCCTCAAGAGAAAGGTCTTGGTAGCTTTAGATAATCAGTGATCATCAGAGTATCTTGCACTCTGCTCCACCATTTGTAGAACTGATAATGGTGAGGAATTAAATTTCCCTGTCTAGTACGGTTCTCCTAATTCCGTTACCCTGGCAACTGAAAGGGGCAAGAGATATTACCCACAACAAAACTAAAAGGCATAGTTATGCAACAAAAGACATTGTTTCCATCAGTACCTGTTTGCTAATCAACACTATTGTATGTTTTTCTTCTGCTTTCCTATGGCTGTTAATGGTATAGACACACACATGTACAGATGCTACAAACACACACATTTTTTCTACAAGAGTGATAAAAGTCTTTTTAAAGAGATGTGTGTATGTGTTTCTTTGGAAAAATGTTCATGGAGAAAGTAAATTTCAGATTAAGTTGTGTTGACCACTGGAATTTAGGTCAGACTGGGAATTTTTGATGTGTACAGTCACTCATTTGCATAAATTGACTTTCATGGAGTTAAAAGCGATTACAAAGAGCACTTTTGTATTTAAATTCTGAGATTGAGGAAGGAGGAACAGCTACAGACAGAAAAACTATTTTCACAAAGATTTTCCGAGGGAAGAACTGGATACACACTTTTTAAGTTCTTTTGGTCAAATTGGTAAGAGTGACTTATTCTGTAAATTCCCAGCCCTTGCAAGCTCACCAGCCCATGTCCAGTTACTCCAGGAAAAAGATAGGGGTAGCTTAAACCTTCATCTCTATGATGGAAATCACTAAACTGTGAGTTTGGCTCAGGCTTTTTGAAACCCATGACTAGATTACTGTGATGTTGGGGAAGTAGGTAAATTTATATTTGTCAAAATCTTTGCCTGCAGAGCCCAGTATGATTGGGAGATGTGCAGCTTTATTGGTGGTGATGACTGATGGTCAGATCACAGAGGCTGGTTAGAGCTGGAGGCCAGGTGAGTATGGCAACTCACACGCACCAAACAGTGCTTTTGCGGTGGCTTGCTTTCAATGAGGTAAGCAAGTAGTGCAAAGGGCATACAAGACTGACAATTAAGTCTGTGAACTCACCACCATGTGCTTACATTGGCAGCACTGAACAAACAACTCAGTAAGGTTTTGTGATGTTGGTATGTGTGTCTCACAGTTGTGTTCATGTTAACATGTGGTGGTGTCTTATTGAGTGGCGTTCCTTATTGCTATTGCATGTTTTTGTGTGCCATCATGAGAATGCTGGATTTGAAGTGGAGCAACAAACCAATATTATATTTCTTGTTAAATTTGGCAAGAGTGGAAGTGAAATCAGGGACATGTTAGTCCAATTTTACAGGAATGATGCCATGAAGTAAACAGCAGTGTACAAATGGATTAAAAGTTTTTCTGAGGGGACAGAAAGTGTCACTAATGAAGAGGTGAAGGCAGCCAATAATGCACAGAAATGATGACACTGTTGCAAAAAATTCATTGAACTGTGTGTCAAAATCATTGGCTGACTGTGAGAAGCATAGCAGACCAAGTAAACATCAATAGAGAGACAGGAAAACCTTAACTGGAAATCTTGGCCTGAATAAGGTGTATGACAATGCACCAGTTCATATGGCATTGTCTGTGAAAGAGTTTCTGTCGTAAACAAGTAATTGTATTGAACACCTTCCCTACTCACCAGAGCTGGTCTCTAGTGGCTTTTTTCTTAATCCAGAGTTAAAGGAAATATGAAAGGAAGATATTTTGATAACATTCAACTCATCAAGGATAATACTACTACAGCTCTGATAGCCATTCTAGAAAAGGAGTTCCAAAATTGCTTTGAAAGGTGGACCGGGCATCAACATGGGTGCATAGCTTCCCAAGGGGAGTACTTAGAAGGTAACTATAGTGATAGGCACCAGTGAGGTATACAACACTTTTTCTAGGAAAGGTTTATAAACTTGTCAGGTCTGGTACATGAGATTAAGCAAATATATTAGCACTGTGACAACTGGGAAATAGACCCAGAGTTTGAGGATTTTACCCTCCGAGGGAGATGAATCAGCAGGTCAGAGCAGCTCTGAAGTGCTGGTACCTCCTACTGTGGCCTGAATGTCACCACTAGCATCACCAGCATGCTCCTTTATGAACTTCCTCTTGCTACAACTGGTGTGACCATCAGAGTAGGTTTTCTGTAGGTTTCACTATTTTGTAGCACTATCCCCCAATTCAAAGCCTGGGGTGGTCACAAGCAGAGCCGAGGTCTCTCTTGCTGCAAGAAACAACAGGATATAAGCATCTGATAAGTTAAGCTCTTTCTACTACTCAAACTCAGAATGTAGGGAATTCTCAAGAAATAGTTTCGATTTGATATTGAACAGCTGAAAAACAATGATTAATGTCCCCACGATAGCTGTAATTTGAAATGATCTTCAAACATTTTTGTTCATATAGCTTCTAAATTCTTTCAAACTAAAAAATTTTTGTTTCAAAAAAAATTCCCTGCTAAGAATTTATTTCAATACATTGTATTATTATGACACATTGGTGATTTTTAATTTAGTTTCTGGTGCATACATTAAAATGCAGATCATTGTTTTCTAGCATACCACATGCATGACAATCTCATTATGAGTTATAATCACACGTAGTCAAGACATGTTCTTGACTGAAATTCCAACGACAGGGAGGAAGGTAGAGAGGGAGGAAACATCACAGACATTCCTCTGAAGTCTAACCTGAGATGTTGTTCTGTTTTTTTTTAATTTGTTTAGTTATTTTTGACAGAAGATGTTAAGTTCAGAAGAACGGGCTAATCATTTAAAGCCAAAGATGGGCATTATGGTAATTTTTAAGGCTGGTCAGAATATGTATTTGGTAATATGGATATAAAATCTTTAGAAATATCATTTCTTGACATTAGAAAACAGGGGTATACAAACTTTCTGTTAAGAGCTAGATAATATTTTAGGTCTTATGGGCCTCTGTTGTAAATTACTCAACTCTGCTATTGTAGCCCCAAAGCAGTCATATATAATATACAAGTTAATGGTTGTGGTTTAGTGCCAATAAAATTTCTTCACAAAAAAAATATTTGGCCAAGGCCTATAAGCTTGCCAATCCCTGTCATAGAAACTTAATAGTAATAACACAGAGGCCTAATACTAAAGAAAAAAATAAAAGGAATAAATGCACCAGAGGCAGAAAAGAATTGAATCTCCCTTTACCTCTTTTTTACTGTCCTAATCAGAAATCTGAAGGAAGAGTCACAAGTGCTCATCTGAATTACCTTAAATGACCCTTTGTCTACATCACGGTCTTTATTTCTTTACACTATCATGCATTTCCCACTGGCTGGAAGTGTAGTATAGTGGGAATGGATTGTGTAGGTTCAAAGAGTGGCTCTGCCAAGTACTAATAAAATGACTTTGGCAAGAAGACAAGACTCAAAGAAAAAACCAGGAGAAACCGCAAGAGTGATGGAGGCTGAGAACACAATAGGTGCGTTACTAAGAAAACTTAAGATATAGGTAAAAATTGAACAGAAACCACTCCTAACCATTACGAGAATTGGACATCACCTTTTAATAAAGACAGTATAATGAGAAAAACGCACAAAAGAATTAAACAGTAACTTGAGTGGAAGAAACTCATTTTCAGGAAATTCTGATGAGAAGTTTAGAATTTAGAACATAGCAGGAATTTAGGCCTCAGAGAATGATAGGAGCCTAAGTTGTTAAGAATGAATCAAACATGTTCTAAATCACCCAGGTCCAGTGTAGTCATTTTCCCCAGTAACTTTTTTTGGCCCAAATCCAGGAATATAATAAATGAAGAGGTTGCATATTCATATTACTTTTCCATTGCTGCCATAACAAATTCCACAAATTCAGTGGCTTAAAGCAACCAGATCTTACCATCTTACAGTTCTATATGTCAGAAGTCTGGTATGGGTCTGAAAGAAATCAAGATGTCAGCAGAATTCCTTTTTTGGAAGCTCTAGGAAAGAATCCATTTTTTGCTAACTTAGATTAATGGCAGGATTCAGTTCCTTGCTATCGTAGGACCAAAATCCCTGTTTTCGTGTTGGTTATAAACTAAGGGCTGATTCCAGCTTCTAAAGACCACCACATACCCTGGCTCATGGTCTTCTTCCTTCAATTTCAGAGAGGCCAGTCATTTTCATGTCACATCTCTCAGACCCAGTCTTCTGCCTCCCTCTTCCACTTACTGAGGACTCATGTGATTAGAGTGGGCCCATCTGATAATCCAGAATAACCTCCCTATAGGCAAAACGCCTATATGCCTCTGGCCAAAAAAGCTGTTTGAGAGAGAGCAGTAAAAAGACCCTGTGTGGGCATACTTGTGAGAAACTGAGGTAGAATCCCATGTGGCCAGGTTAGTTGCGGGCCTAACTTGACCAAGGCTTTGGCTGGAATAGCATTTCCAGACTGTGTTAAGGAATTAAAGTTGACTCTATAAGGCCAATGAAAAAGCCCTTTGGAAAACTGGCCAGATACCCATCAGTAACCTTTCCTGATCTGTGGTATGTGATGAAGGTCACTTGCTGATGGGTCTGACAATAGAAATGTGCTAGGGGACCTCAA